TGTGACACGGACAAGGTGTTCTCGCCATTCCAGCCCTCCCAGGGCGACTGTACGTTGCATCGGCCCAGAGTTCTCGCCAGTCCAAGCCTTTTAAGCTCAGAGAGCGCGGCAAACTCACTGGTTCGTTACCGTTTTAGGTCTCTGAGGTCTGAGGACCAAACCGTGCGGCAGGGGCGCATGATGCGTATGCCTCTGCATGTGCATGAGCGCCAGACATCTCCAACATTAGCGTACCCAAACTGTTTGGTCTTGTGAGATACGACTCCGATCATTGGCATCATGCTATCAGGGTGCGATGCTCGCAGAATCCCCTAAGCAGCCTCACCGTCCGATTCCTCCTCCTCCTCCCCTCCTCCTTCTACTCGAACTCCTGCCCCTCCTCTCGGTGTTCTGCTCGTCTCCCTCCCCCCTGTCTGTGGACAGCTGCGGTGCTGTGGACACCGTGCTCCTGCGTGTCGCGGCCGCGGTGTCTCCCCAATTGGGGCCACCCGCGTCCCGTTTATCGGGTCGGGCGAAAGGGGGGGATAGCAAAGGGGGGGTTTGAGAATCAGCTCACGTAGCTGATTTTCTCGGCGCCTCCCGGCGCCGGGAGCCGCCATGTATCGAGGAATGGGCCCCTCGGTGAGGCCGAGACCAGCTGCATGCAGCAAATTTCGTAACCCCCCCTTTCCCAATCCCGCCCTTTCGCCCGACCCGAGTTTAGCTCTTGACCGGAAGGGGCCCGCTCCCGACCCGCAGGCCCCCGCAAAAGAAAATGTCGCGGCCGCGGCCCCGGAAGGCGGCGCGCCGTGCCCTGCCAAGCGGACGGCGTGCACGCTGCGCTCCGCGGGGCGGGCGGCCGGGAAAGAGAGAGCTCCGGGCGCCGACGCTCGGGAACGGGGCGAGTTGTGAGCGCGTCGCGCCGAGGAGGGGCGGGCCAGAGTGGGCGGCGCGACGCGACGTGCAGCAGAAAGGTGCCCATGAGCTCTAGGGCACGGCTGCGCCAGAGAAGCAAGCGCACCGCATCCGCCTCCGCAGCAGCCTCCTCAGCCTCGTCCGCCTCGTCCGCATCGTCGCCCCTGCCTGTCATCCCAACGTCCTCGCCCTTCCTCCTGCTGCTGCCAGCGCGCAGTCTTGATGCTCATCCTCAGTCTCATGCTCCCCATGCTCCTCTTGCTGCTGCTGGTCCTCCTCCTCCTGGACCGCCTCCTCCTCCTTCTCTTCCTCCTCCTCGTGCTCAGTATCCTCCTCATCCTCCTCTTCTACCTCCCTCTCCTCCTTCTTCTCCTCCTCTTCCTATACTTTTCAGTCTAAGTAACTTCTCCCTGTCGCACCCTCTCACAGGCCGGGGCAAGTTCTTTTGGGCAGGCCGGGCGTTTCGGTCGAGACTTCTCACAACTTATGACCCTGAAGCGTAACTGCTGGCAACAGCTTCACAGATGAAGGGCGGGTGGTTTGCAGGATGTGGCTCTCGCCTTAGCGCCGCGCATATTCGTTTGAAGCATTTGTAAGAGTTCACGCATTGAGGCTCTCGCATTAGCTCCGCGTACATTCGTTTTGCACATTTGCAAGAGCTTCACGGATTGAGGGCCGCTACTTTTCAGATTCAGAATGTGGCTCTCGCCATAGCGCCGCGCACATTCGTTTTAAACATGTGTACGAGTTTCGCGGATTGAGAGCGGGTGGTTTTCAAAATGTGGCTCTGGCCTTTGCTCCGCGTGCATTCGTTTTACAAATTTGCAAGAGCTTCACGGGTTGAGGGCGGCTCCTTTTCAAAATGTGGCTCTCGCCGTAGCGCCGTTTACATTTTTTATAACACTTACAGCATGGATCCACCGATTCCCATGATCAGCGTTTCAGGAATCGCGCTTTGGATATATTCAGAATTACGCGGGTGCAACAGTTACATTGGCTCACGGTGTTGAAGTCCCAGGAATGGCGCTCTGGCACGTTTCAGGCTCGTCAAGGCGCAACAGTCAGGTTGATCCGTGGCGCTGGACTCCCGAGAACAATGCTTTAGCATTTTTCGAATCTTCAAGCGGTTGTCTTCCGACGAGGCAGTTCCCTCAGTGAAGATGAACCGATGTAGGAGCCTATATAGAGGGAGCTTGGAGTGAGGGTTCATTCAAACATTGTTGATGGCTCTTGGGTTTGCACTGGTCCTCTTCTTCCTCCTCCTCCTCCTCCTCCTCCTCCTCCTCCTCCTCCTCCTTACTCCCCCTCACCCTCCCCTTCCCCTCCTCATCCTCCTCCTCTTCCTCCTCGGCCTCCCCTTCTTCCTCCTCGTCCTCGTCCTCGTCCTCCTCCTCCTCCTCCTTCTCCTCCTCCTCTCCCTCAACATTATGCGAATCATCCTCCCTCATTGTCCTCCTTCCTGCTCGACCTCTTGCCCCTCACCCGGCCGGGAAGGAGGAGGGTCAGCAACAATAGTCAAGCAGGCGAGGAGGGGAAGGACTTTCCCAACCTTCCCCTTCGCAGCCTTGACTGTCTTGAACGGGGCGGCCACTTTGTAATCCTGTGGGCGGGGAGGGGAAGAAGGAGGGTGGCAGTGGGGAGGCCCGGGAGTCCTCCTGATCCTCCGCCTTCCTCTCCTCATCCTGCTCCTGTTCCTCCTCTTCCTGTCATTCTTCCGTTTGGGCTCCAACGCGCCCCCCGTGCGCCGTCTTGCCTGCCCCAGGCTTCAGCGAAGCGTTCTCGTGGTCCGCCGTGATCGCCTCGCATGGCGGCGGCAGATCCGGGGCGGAGTCGTGGGTCGTGGAGCCTCCCGTGGCCTCAACGGTCGCAGCACATCGGCCCCCTTCCGCGACGACGGCTGGACGCGCTGCACCTCGTGCGTCCGGCACGGCCAGAAGACGCGCTGGGCGGCTGCCGGGGGGAAGTGCGCGTGCTGTCCGCAAGTCAAGCCCTCCGGTCCACGGGCGCACATAACTCCGCTGGGGCGGCCTCCACGAGCTGCCGAACAGCCTGGAGGAAGCCCCTCCCCCACGTTCACGGTCTCTGAAGCCCTGGGGGGCATGATTGATGGGCCCATTGTCCACCACCACTGCCATAGGTAGGACAGGGAGGAGGAGGGAGGAGGAGGAGGAGGAGGAGGAGGAGGAGGACGAGAAGAGGGAGGAGGAGGAGGAGGAGGAGGAGGAGGAGGAGGAAGAGGAGGAAGACCTCCCAATCCTCCCGTCTCCCCCGTCCTACCTGTGGTAGTGGTGGTGGAAACTTTGCCCATCAATGACGACAGAGAAAGCCCGAGTCTCGCCTGAGGTGCAAGCCGCCCTGCTGGTCCTGCAGGGCCATGTTCGCCAGACCACCGAGCAGGCGACTGCCCCGTCAGCGGACGACGCGTTCCGCAAAACCTCGGGCGAGTGCAAGGACCTCCACCGCACTCACCAGGCAGCATTCGACGCCGTGATCCGCGTTCGCGGTCACCTTGCCACGGCCGAGGTCAAGGAGCAGGAGCTCGCCGTGCTGTATGTGGAGGCATCGACTCCGAGACACTTTCCGACGATAGTGCTCTCTGAAGACGGAACTGCGAGGCTACACAGGGCTCCCACGATGTGCTACCGGGCAACCCCCCACAACACAGCAGAACACCAACAGTCGAGGAGCGAGCGGGGGAACAGGACCAGGAGGGAGCGGGGGCGGTGAGGCTCTGGCGGGCGGCGGCGAGTGGCGGAGAACTCCGCCCACGTGGAAGCAGCAGCCCCTGGGGCCGCCGGAGGAGCTTCAGGAGCCCGCTTGCTATTCTTCGCGAGAACGCCCGTGACCGGCCCCGCCCCCCCAGACATCCAGCGCCTCGAACAAACCCCTCCTCCTTCTCGTCCTTCTCCTCCTCCTCCTCCTCCTCCTCCTCCTCCTCCTCCTCCTCCTCATGTTCCTCCTCCTCCTCCTCCTCGTCCCTCCCCTCCTCATCGCTCTCCTCCTGTCTAGACGACACTTTGTCATCGTTTTCGGCTTTGCGGGGCCCTCGCGGGGCCTCGGGACCGCCGGAAAACGACCCGGGATGAACAACGGGTCCCAGGGACGTGGTCGAGAGGTCGGGGCCCCGCGTCTCGAAGAAATCGAGACGCCGCATGCCTGGCCCCCCCCTCCCCTGGCCACGTCGAGACTCGAGCAGGCGCCGTGCTGGGAATTAGCCATCCTTTGCGTAGGCTTAGGTCGGGCCTGCCCCCCTACAGAGGGATTTTGGACGAAAAATAAGAAATACCCTCAAAAAATCAAAGATGCATCAAAATACTCAAAAACAAATCCCCAGACTATTTTGGACTATCTTTGAATATCCCCCCTGTAGAGGGACAGGCCCGACTTAAACGTAGGCGCTCCCTGACGGCGCCTGCGCGAGTCGTGACGTGACTGGCCCCCGGGCCCACCCGCCTCCCCCCTCCGCCCCTCCGCCCGTGATCTCCAGGTGATAAAACATGTGTTTTTGGAGCCCCCCGCACACTTCCCAGGTCTGCTGGCCTGCTCGCTGCCCCTGGGGTGAAGTCGGGCCCGTCGGCCTGTCCATCTGCAGGGTGGATTCTCCCAAATAGTGAACAAGTAGTCTGGGCACGATTTTGGGAGTGCTTTGCCCATGTTGGAATATGTTTTGGGTATTTTTGGTGATTCGTCCAGAATTCTCCTGTAGGGGGACAGGCGCGACCTCACCTTGGGTCGCAAGAAGAAAGACCAGGGCAGTCGGGAAGCCGCGAGCCCAGCGAAGTCGAGGAGCCTCCGATCCAGGGATGGGAGGGGCATCTGCGAACCCAGGGCTCGCACGCTGCCTGATGCGCGTCGCAATACCATTAAGTCGGGCCTGTCCTTCTACAGGGGGGATGCTCAAGACTAATCAGAGACATAATATAGGGACGACCTTTGTTTTGCGTAGTTCTGCATATTTGGGAATGTTGTTTGTTATTGTTATGTTTCGCCCACAATCCCCCTGTAGGGGAACACGCCCGACCTAACACTTCCAAGCTTTCCCGCCCGCCAGGTCCGCCCTCGCCTGCCTCCTCTGGAACGTCAGGGGCCCAAGAATCTCAAATGGCGGGGGCACTCTGGAATCCTGCTGCAGGTTGCGGAAGATCGCAGCCGCGACCGCGACCTGATCCTTGCTGAAACCCTCGTCCACCCTGCATGCGGCCAAGGTCAACAGGAGGTCCTCTTCAAGTGGTACCACATGCAGAGATACAAGCTGCACAGGATACGGAAAACAATATGGGTATCACGTACAAAACGACCACACACAGAGATCTACACAGCACGGTCATCCATAGCACGATGTCGCAATTCGAACCTGGTATCGTTGGGCCTTGTGACGATGCCTCTCTATCTCCCTTTTCTCTCTCCCTCTCTCTCCCGATCAATCCTTCTGAGCACATCCGAAACCGTGATGCGAGGTACTAATGCGACTAGTATCCTCAATCCTGTTCGACCTGCATTTGGAACGCGTAGTACGGAAATCTCTCGGGGTGTTGCCACTCTTCTGCCGGTACGTACGTATGTATATATATATATATACGTAGCACCCCGCAATTGCGGATAAGACTGAGGGGGCGGGCGCGGGCAACGCGGGCGTCGTCGAGCCGGCGGACCTCGTGGCCCCCACCTTCCCTGTCGATGGCGCTCTCCTCCTCCTCCTCCTCCTCCTCCTCCTCCTCTTCCTCTTCCTCGTCCTCGTCCTCATCGTCATCGTCATCCTCCTCCTCCACCTCGTCCTCCTCCTCCTCCTCCTCCTCCTCCTCCTCCTCTTCTTCCTCGTCCTCCCTCTCCCCCCCTCGTCCTTTCATCATCGTCCTCCCATTGTCGTCCTCCCCCTCATCGGCCTCCATCATCGTCCTCCCATTGTCGTCCATCATCATCATCCTCCCCCTCCTCCCCCTCCTCGTCCTCCTCCTCCCCCTCCTCCCCCTCCTCGTCCTCCTGCTCCTCCTCCTTTTCTTTCTCCACATTCTCCTTACATCCTCTCTTCTTCCGCGTTCTCCTCGTCCCCTGTTTACTCCTCCTGCCTCCCCCTCCTTTCCCAAGATAACTGCAACGCAATCCTTTTTTCCACTTTATGCTCCCCGCCTTCTCTGATCAAGGCAACTCGCCAGGGCAGAGTTGCTGGACGGGCTGGTGTGGATGCGCGGGGCTTGAAGAGGTCCTTGCGGGCTCAGACGGCATGCAAAAATCCGCCGCCGCGCTTGTGCGGCATTGGTTTGTTCAGTGAACGTGTTTTAGGTCGCGGGTGGGTCCCGGGCTCTCCACCTCCATCTGGAAGGAACGCAAAAGCAACCCGCCGCAGACCCCCCAAAAGATGGTTTGTACACTGAACGTGGTTTCGGTCGCGGGTGGGCCGCGGGTTCTCCACCGGGAACGAATGCAAAAGATGCCCGCCGCAGGCGTCGAAAAATGTGGCTTGTACCCTGAACGTGGTCGCGGGTGGGCCGCGGGCTCTCCACCTGAAACGAATGCAAAAGATGCCCGCCGCAGGCGCCGAAAAATGTGGTTTGTACCCTGAACGTGGTTTGGGTCGCGGGTTGGTCGCGAGTTGGTCACGGGGTGGGTCGCGGGCTCTCCACCTGGAAGGAATGCAAAAAAAGCCCGCCGCAGGCGCCGAAAATGGTGGTTTGTACCTTGAACGTGGTTTGGGTCGCGGGTGGGTCGCGGGTGGGTCGCGGGGTAGGTCGCGGGTGGGTCGCGGGTGGGTCGCGGGTGGGTCGCGGGTGGGTCGCGGGGTGGGCCGCGGGCGGGTCGCGGGGTGGGTCGCGGGGTGGGTCGCGGGGTGGGTCGCGGGGTGGGTCGCGGGGTGGGTCGCGGGGTGGGTCGCGGGTGGGTCGCGGGTGGGTCGCGGGTGGGTCGCGGGGTGGGTCGCGGGGTGGGTCGCGGGTGGGTCGCGAGGCGGGCTGCGGGTGGGACGACGACAACAAACAACAACAACAACAACAACAACAACAACAACAACAACAACAACAACAGCAACAACAACAACAACAAACAAACAAACAAACAAACAAACAAACAAACAAACAAACAACAACAACAACAACCACCAACCAACCAACCAACCAAACAACCAACCAAACAAACAAACAAACAAACAAACAAACAAACAAACAACAACAACAACAACGAGAATCCGCACCGCGGAATTCCACTTCAGCCACGCACCCAGGGACAGTGAATGACCGTTCGGCCCCATCACTCTGATATAGATATAATTATACTGACACGGCACATGCGGAACAAAAAGGCTCAGGAACCCACCCGACGACGACGGCGCGGACGACGGCACGAGCGCGGTCCGGGATGCCCAAGATGGCCTCAAGACGGCCCAAGAGTTCCCGAAGACGCTTCAAGATGGCCCCTAGAGGACACACAAAAGGCCCCAAGAGTCCCAAATCAACCAAATCCTATGCGTTTGATACAATTATTTGAATACTTCCTGTTTCGTACTGTGAGCGCTCAAGGCGGTCCAAAAGGTCCCCGAGATCGCCCCTAGACAGCCCAAGCTGCCCCCAAGAGGGCCCAAAGACGGCCCAAGAGGGCCCCAAGATGGCAAAGGAGGACCCCAAGACGACCCCAAGAGGCCCCAAATACGGCCTCAAGAGGTGCCCCAAAAAGGAGGGTTCGAACTGACCCTGCGAGCCCTTCACCCCAAGATGGTCCCCAAAGCCCCCAAGAGGCTCCCGAGGCGCCCCCATGAAGCCCCGAGAAGCCTCCAAGAGGCCCCCAAAAAGACCTCAAGATGCCCCAAGAGGCACCAAGAGGCCTCCAAGAGGCCCCAAAAGACCACCAAGAGGCCCCGAGAGGCGCCGCCTCTCACGCTGCCAGGTCAGAGGCGCATAGTCTGCCCCGGTATCGCTCGGAAGCAGAAGCGCCGCACTAAGGACCAGCGAAAACCTGCAAACACCTCGAACCTGAAGCCTCTCTTCGCTCCTCGCGCCGCGGTGGCGGCCCCCAGACTTCCGGAGCGCCCTTGGACCGGAAGCACGCGGCACAGGCCAACGGTGAGACGGTCACACTGGCTCCCTACCCAGACCTGCGACGCCCTGATTTTTGTTTAGGACGGCGTCCCCGAAGTCCCGACCCTTTCACCAGGACCGGCTTTTCGTCCCGAGTCGTTTTTTGACTGCCCTGGGGCCCGGCCAGGGCACCCCGGGGCCGAAAGCATGGAAACGCCCCCCGTCCTGATTCCTTGTACGACGCGGGCATGCCTGGGCACACCACTCGACAAGGCTCGCGAGAGAGGCCAGGGGGCCGATGCCGGCCCCGGCCTCGGTGACCTGATGGTCTCCCGTGCGCTCTCCCGCGTGGTCTCCCGTGTGGTCTGCCGCGTGGTCTCCCAAACGTTCGGTCGGGCGTGTCCTCCTGCAGGCGGATTTTGGATGAAAAATACGTGATATACAAAAATGCAACAAAAATGCTCAGCAGTGGTCAAAAGATCGTCCCCTCATTATCATCTGATTACTTTTTGAATATCCCTCCTATAGGGGGACATGCCCGACTTAACGGTACAATCGCCTGCGTGGCCCCCCCCCCCGGCGTGGTCTCACGCATGGTCTCCCTAATTCGGGGCTGGACAGACCCCCCTTTAGTAAAACGTGGTTTAGTGAAAACGACCTGACCCAAACCTGGCGGGCGCCAGCCTGGAAAATAACGGCCACGGCGCCCCCTCGAGAACCGAACACGGACAATTCACTAATCGATGTGTCACTGTTGGGGGTTCTGTCCACCCCCGATCCCTAATATGCTCCGCCGTGCGGTCTCCCGTATACGACTCCGTCTGGTCTGGACCGTGTGGTCTCCCCTTCTGGTCTCCTATATGCGGCCTTCCCTTCCTGGTGGTCTCCCGCAGGAGCTCCCGCAGTGTCTCCCGCACGGCACGGTGAGGGCATTGGACCAGGAGCCCTTCGATAAGGAGTCCAGGGTCTGGAAGCCAGTGGAACGCCACTCGTGGTGCGGCCATGGATATCACCGCCGCCCCCATTGCATAAGGAGCCCTCCAGGGTCCGAAGCCCCTGGGCAAATGCCTCAGCGAACGCCCTCACCGAATCCCATATGGTCAGCCGTGCGGCCTCCCGCACCTGTTCTTCATCGTGTGGCTTCCCGTGTGGTCTCCTGCAGAGACCCCCTTCCATGGTCTCCCGCATGGCCTTCCCTGTGGCCTCCCCCGTGCTCTTCCCTGGGGTCGCCCGCCCGGTTCTTACACGTTGCCTTATGCACGACTTCCGGCGTACTCTCCCGCAGGGCCTCCGGCACAGTCTCCAGCAGCATGGTCTCCGCGCACGCTCTCCCGCACGCTTTCCGCTTCTGGCATCGCGCGTGGTCTCCCGCAGCGCCTCCCGTGTGGTATCTTCCGCACGGCTTCCCGTACGAGCCCGCGCCTGCTCTCCCGCATGCTCCCCAACATGCGCCACGGTCTGGTTTTCCGTCTGATCTCCCGTATACTCTGCGGCCTGCTCTCCTATGTGTTCCCACATGTCGGCGCGAGGGGCCGCACGGTCTCTCACACAGCGACCCCCGGTGCGTGGCCGAAGCGGGGCCCCGCGGCGCGGACTCTGCCTGCCTGTTGCTGCACTCGTCGTCGCCCGCAGCCTGCCCACGATCCACCCGCGAACCGCAACCGCAACCCACCCGCGACCCGACCGCGGGGGACCCACATCCCGCCAGCGACCAACCGGCGACCCACCCGCAAGTCACCCACGTTGCGCTGACGAAGATGCATATGCGCCTGCGGGAGGCTCGCTATGCTGAGTGAAGATCGGCGCCTGCGGCGGGCTTCTTCTAATCGTTCCTTGACCCTCGCACATTGCCGATGACCCCCCCTATCCTCCCCCCTCCTCCCTCACGTTTGTCCACAACTGCGGGTTTATGATACAGTGCAGTATGAAGCTCTCTTTACGCACCACTTGTACAGTTTAGGGTCTTCTGCCACCAGGTGGGTCATATTCCGATGTCTTCGGCCCGAGGGTGATACTACCAAGGGGCCGACATGTGGTGTGACAAGGGAGCATCGTGTACTGGTGAATGGCGGTGGCAGAGGAAGGACTAGGAGGACACGGATAGCGAAGGAGCAGAAGGCTAAGCAACGAGGGTGAGGTGGATGACAGGAGGAGGAGGAGGAGGAGGAGGAGGAGGAGGAGGAAGAGGAGAAGGAGGATGTAAAGGGACCAGCAGAGAGGGTGACGGGTGAGGAAAACTGGTGGCGGGAAGGAGACGGGGGACGTCGAGAAGGGTAGAGACATGCCACCATACTTGTGTATCTTTGTATGCAGAATTCTGGGGGCCTCAGCGTAGGATTGCGTGCGTCGGCGCTGTGACCCCCCCCCCCCCTCTGGCGCGAGACACGCCCGAGGGGCGGCGCCAGAGGCGCCGCCAAAAGCAGCGCCGACACAAGAACTCCGCGCGGCCCTCTGGAAGTTTGTTCGGGGATGGACAGACCCCCCTTTAGTAGAACGTGGTTTAGTGAAAACGACCCGAGGCCCCAACCTGGCGGGCGCAAACCTGGAAAATAACGGCCACGGCGCCATCTCGAGAACCGAAAACGGACACTTCACTGATCGACGTGTCACTGTTGGGGGTTCTGTCCACCCCCGAATTGTATGAATGTTGTGCTCGCTGCCACTATAAACAACTTGTCATCGTGGTGCCCAGATATCTTTCGTAACAAGGGCTGGGGCGGCCAGTTGCCGGCCCCAGAAATCGGAGACTCCATGCTGCCCCGTATTGTCTCCCATATGGGTCCGTCTCTGGCCCCTGAGTCGGTGACATGATGGTCCCCTGTGTGGTCCCCCGCGTATGTTTTTCCGGGGAGGGGGGGGGGGGCATTGCTGGCCCCAGAGAATGACCTGGCGGTATGTCGTGTTGTCTCCCGTGTGGTCCACCGTATGGTCCCAAGCATGGTATATCCCCAGTGTGATCGTCCGAAGGATCTCCTGTATGGTATCCAGCCTGGTCTCCCATGCGGTCTCTCTTATCGCCTCCCGTCTGGTGCTCCTCATGACATCCCCGATGGCCTCCCCGAGCGGTATCGTGTGCGGGCCTCCCGTACGGTCCCCTGCATGGTCTCCGGCATGGTCTGCCGGATGGTCCCACCTCGGGTGTCCAGCATGGCTTCCCGCATGGTCTCGTTCCCGTGGTCTTCCGTCGGGTCTCCCGCCTCCCTTCTGTCTCCACGATGGCCACCAATGTGGTCTTCCGCGTGGTCTCCCGTCGGGTCTCCCGTGTGGTCGTCCGCACGGCCATCCGTGCGGGCTCCCGTGTGCTCTCTCCCCATATGGCCCCCCCGCGTGCGCAGCACAGGAGCATGCCCTCCCTACGATCTAAAACTGTGCCAGTGAGGGTCTTCTGCTGCCAGGCTGCACGCCTGCTTCGCGCGGTGGCAGAGGAACGAGCAGGCGGAGGAGGACAGAAAGGGGGATGAGGAGGATGACATGAGGAGGGAGAACGCTCAGAGGAGAAGCAGGGAGAGGAGAGTGGAGGAGGATGATGAGAAGTACGAGGACATGAAGGAGGATGCACAATGCTCCGCAGGCGCGTGGGCAGAGAGGAGGAGGAGGAAGAGGAGGAGGAGGAGGAGGAGGAGGAGGAGAAAGAGGGAAAGAGGAGGCCAGGGAGGAGGCAGACGCGGACAGGAGGAGTATGAGCAGGAGGTGAAAGCAGCAGGAAGCAGATGATGAAGATGATACGGCTGTGAGCTCTGAGCACAACCCGTCGCGGGTCGTTGGTGCTCATGTCCTTCGGCCTTTTGTCATCCAACCTCGCTGCCTCGCGACATGCAGGGAAGCAGCTTCCTTTTGCTCCTCATCCTGCGCCTCATCCTCTTTTGTTTGCTTCCTCCCTTCACGTTTTCTCCAAAGCCTTCAACATCTCTGCTCCTCTTGCTCCTGCTCCGTCTTCCTCTTCCTCCTCTTCTCCTCCTCTTCTCCTCATCTTCTTCCTCCTGCTTCTCCTCCTCTGGCCTCCTGCTCCTCATGCCCCACACCCCTCCTCCTCACCATGGCCCCCGCAATTAAGGATCAGAGTGATTGTGCGGGGGGGTCGTTGGCAGTCTGCGAGGCTCGACAGCGACTGACTCTGAAGAAGCAGGCCGACGTCGCCGATGATAGCTGCACTCTGCACCACGATCCCGCCGAGTGTGCCGATTCCTGTCAGTGCAATGTGGTCGGGTCGCGGTCGGGTCGCGGGCGGGTTGCGGGGGGATCACGGGTGTACCGCAGGCGGGTCGCCGGCGGGCGCGACGAACATCAACAATTACAAGGGTCCTCCCTGTCTTACTTCGGGCCCCGTGAGACACGCTAGATCTGGACAGCGGCACGAACACTGACTGCACTGCAGCAGGCCAGGACAAACCCGGACACCTGGCACAAAAACGCATCGTGCAGCGCAACAAACAGAAACATGCACGGGTGCTGAAGAATGTGACTTTGCAGGAGAAGGGTGTCGTTTCCTTGCTTTTCCGTGTCCTTGTTTATCTGTGTCCTGGTCTCCGGGGGCCGGATTTACGGTGCTCGGGGAACCTCCAGAACCCTCCTTCAGCGTGTGCAAGGGTCGTCCCTGACCCTCGGGGCCCCCACGGGCCCCCACTCCCCCGAAAAACAACAGCAGCTGCAACAACAACAGAAACAACAACAGTAACATCACCAACAACAGCAACAACAATTACAGCAGCAAAGCTGGTCGCTCTCATATGCTCGCGGGTCATCCGAAATACCCTCGATACCCGCCCTTTTCGTCTGTGATGATGCCCCCTTTCGGGGGTATATCTTCCTTTTCCTGCCAAGTGTAATTGGCGCAACCCTTGAAACCAGAAGGGCAAAGCTTCTAGAAAAGGACGAGAGCGAGGAGGACGGGCGTGCAGGAGGGGAGGGAGGAGGGAACGATGCGAGAGGGAGGGAGGCCATGCACGACGAGAGGGATTAAGCAGATGATTTAGCAAGGCGGGATTGCAAGGAAGCTTCAGGCGAGAGCGCGGCTCCCGAGATACAGGTGTGGACGTCCCGAGCGAGAGCGCGATTCCAGAGCGCAGAGAAAACGACCATTGCATGAATTGCGAGGAGACCTATATCTCCGGCGAAAGCTAAACTGCCCAATACGCCGCGAGGGTGTATTCGGCGGGAGCCGCTGTCAGAGCACACTGGAAGCCAACATCGCACCCTGAGTCAAAAAACTTTCCCTTGCACAAAGAACAGGTGCGAGTTCCGGAAGGGTCACTTCACCTGAAACATAACATGAGCACCAGATGGAGGGAACAACCGCATTTTTTCTCTAGAAGCGCAAGAACAACATCAGTGTTAGCCAGCGTGGGCCCCTTCACAGTGCGTTTCTCACGATATAGGTTGTGCGCTTTCTGGGGAGTCGACGGCTCAATGTGTCTGTGTGTGTGTGTGTTTGTTTCCCTCCTGGACGAAGGGAGCCCCGACGAGCCCCCTGGCCGCAGCGCGCTCCCGTGGCCGGGCCGCACACACACACACACACACGCACACACACACACACACACGCACACTACACGCACACACACACACACACACACACACACACACACGCACACACACACACACACACACGCACGCGCACACACACACGCACACACACACACACACGCACACACACACATACACACACACACGCACACACACACACGCACACACACACACACCAATATTCAGTATGTTTTCCATCGTTTCTGGGCTGTCGTCTTCCCCCCCACTTCCTCGAGGGCGTCCTGCAGGGGGGGCGCTCCTCGAGAGGGGGCCCAGGGACACACCCGCAGAGCAACACAGTGCCGTTTTTTGTTATACATGCTCCGCGTGCGGATCGTGCATTACAACGTGCAAGGATCTAGTATTCAAAACAACGAGGACTTCTCATTCATAAACTGATAATGCATGAAAAATCCGATGTTCTAAAAAATCCCTTGTATGAATAACTGGCCTGTACACATTCACACACACATTCCAGGATTCCATATCTTCCATAGTTTCTGGGCTGTCGTCTTCCCCCCCACTTCCCATATGTCCTCGGGCTCTCCTGTTTGGACACCCGAAATGGGTACCGAAAGAATGGGTACAATGCCCAACAACAAATGTTGTCCCAAACCAACAGCGGCCGCTGTTGGGCAGGCGGCCTTCTGTCTCGAATGGACACAGGCCGCGGCGGCGTGGACAGCGAATCCTGTTCAGAATGAACAGGGACTGCTGTTGGGCATCGTACCCATTCTTTCCGTGCCCATCTCGGGCGTCCAAATCCTGGAAGTCGAAGATGCGTTGTGTCTGTGTGTCTTGTTCCCCTCCCGATCCACGCAGTTAGGAGGAGTGCATCTTGCATCTGGGGACCGATGCTTGGCGGTGCGCAGGGGGGGCAGGGGGAGAGGGGAAGGCTTCTCAGAATGAGGCTGCCGCTTAAAGGCGCGGGCCTCGCGTCTACGGACAAGGCCCCCGCCCTCCGAGGAGCAAAGAAGCGGCCTCCTTCTAGGAAGCCCGCCCCCCTCCCCCCCGCCCCCCTCTGCGCGTGGCCGACCCTTCCTGGGGTCCAGGCCGACCCGCTGTTCGACGCGGATCCCCCCCGTGGCGAGGAGAAGCGCCCAGGAGGCCTCCAAAACGACGAAAAGCGCCATGTGAGTGTTTTTTGTTATTCGGCGTCTCGACATTGGGAGGAAGGGGGGGGGAGGGGGGGGGGGTCTGGCTGGCTCCAGACCTCTGCTTAGCGCGACCGTTTGTAAGGAGTGCTGCCTCTGGGGGAGACTCCACCCGCTCGAAACAGGCGCCAACAAACAGCCAAGATCTACTCCATGGGGGGTGGGAGGGGGGGGGGCGCCCGCACCGAACGGCAAAACAATGAATAAAACCACGATCACCATGGCGGGCCGCCGACGTCTCGACTGGCCTTCCTCCCAGCGGCGACCCTCGCGGCCACGGCACGTGGCCGAGATGAGGCGGGGAGGGCCGCCAGGGCCTGATCCGCAACCCTCCCGGGGGCCCGCGGAGGGCGCCAGGGCTCCGAGGGAAGGGGGGGGAGTGAAACTTCTGGGGGGCCGCTCTCCTCCAGGACCCCTGTCCTCCATGCCGACTCTTCCTCCTCCTCCAACTCCTCCTCCTCCTCCTCCTCTCCTCCTCCTCCTCCTCCTCCTCCTCCTCCTCCTCCTCCTCCTCCTCCCTCCTCCTCCTCCTTCTCCTCCTCCTCCTCCTCCTCCTCCTCCTCCTCCTCATCCTCCTCCTTGAACTGCAGCATCTCTCCTCGTCGCAGGCCCCTCGTCATGCGTGGAGGATCTGTTGAAGTACGATCTGGTGCACGGTCAACACTGACTGCCATGAAAAGGCACGATGAAGATGCAAGGGCCTTGGCAGGCCCGGCCAACACTTTTCGAGCGGGTCGCGGCCAACGAAAGTGGCCAAGGATGGGCTGAAGGGAAAAGATGCAAGGGAAACCTAAGAAAGTCGCTCATCTTCACTATCCGAGTTGGCTGTACTGCAACATCGCCAATGCATCCTACAACCCTCCTTGAGATCAAGCGCCAGTCGTTTTCCGCGACGTATCGGTGCCCTCAGGGCCCCACTTTCAAGTTGTCTTCGGACACTGCGGACCACATGACGAGCGTCGCCGAACATTGAAATCAGAGTGGGAAGGGGGCTGCGAGGGGGGTCAGATCAAACTGGCGTTTGATTTCGAGGAGGGTTGTAAGTCAATCCGTATGATAAGGTTGCGCGATAAGGATGCAAGGGCCTCGGACGCCCATTTCAAAGCTTCTCGACCGGGGCGCGGCGAACGAAAGAGGCCAAGTTTGGACCGAGGAGGCAAGGATTAGGTTGCCCATCCTTACTACGCAGGCTGACTGTAGGTCCTTGGCTTATTAGGTTCCTCCTCTACCTGCTCTTCCGTATCCTGCTCCCGCCTACCTTTAACTCCCCTCCACTACCCTGGGCCCTGGTGAGTTCTGCTTTCGAGCATCGAAGATCGAGAATTTCTTCAAACATTTCCGATTGACTCTGAATGCTTTTGTCACGTGTCGGATGTTCGGGGACCCCTGGAGGCCTCTGCGGGCCTCTGGGGCTAAGGGCCCTGGGCGGAAGCATGAGGAGGAGGTGGAGGAGAAGAAGGAGGAGGAGGAGGAGGCGGAGGAGAAGGACGACGAAGAGGATGAGGATGATGATGAGGATGATGATGATGATGATGATGATGATGATGATGATGATGATGATGAGGAGGAGGAGGAGGAGGAGGAGGAGGAGGAGGAGGAGGAGGAGGAGACCCCCCCCGCTCAACCCCTGCGGGCCCTCCCCCCCTTCCCATCAGATTTTAGACCCCAGGGGAGGGGGGAGGAGGCGGAGGAGGAGGAGGAGGAGAAGGAGGAGGAGGAGGAGGAAGCGGAGGAGGAGGAGAAGGACGACGAAGAGATTGAGGATGAGGATGAGGATGAGGATGATGATGATGATGATGATGATGATGATGATGATGATGATGATGATGAGGATGATGATCAGGAGGAGGAGGAGGAGGAGGAGGAGGAGGAGGAGGAGGAGGAGTGGGAGGAGGAGGGCCCGTCCTGCTGCTCTTGCTCCTCCTCCTGCTCCTGCATCCATTCCGTCCACCTGCTCATGACTCCTTGTGACCTCCTTCCACTCCCCCCCCGTGTCCACAACACACATTACGAATACGTCTCTCCCCTCTCCTCTGGCCTCGTCTGAGAACTAGCAACGGCTCTCTCAGCGCACCGCTTTATTAAACACAGAAATGAACGACGGTGATGATCATGCTCCTCACGTGTTTTTGCACTCCGCTTTTTCGGCGATTCGAAATGGTGTTCCTGCTGTAACCTGGGCCTCACTTTCGGATCGGCGCTTTGCCCCCGTCGTTCAGAATGGCGCTCTCGCCCGAGCGTTGCCCGCTTTTCTAAACCCGAATCCTTTTTCATTGTTTCGGGGGCGGCCCAGAGGGGGGCGTCCAAAAGGGGGTCGCAAATCATGGCCGGCGGCATGTGCGCAGCCCAGGGGGGGGCCAGAGACGCCTTGAAATAAGAAGAGGCGCCTTGACATCTGGGGAGATCTCATGGCCCCCGCCATGATATCCCCCCCCATCATCACCCAGCTTTTGGCCGCCCCCGACGATTGTCGCCCCCTCATTTACCCTCCCCCGCCTTCCTGTGCTCCTGCTGCTCCTCCCGTTCACTTCACGGCGGTACCTGCTGGTGCTGCTCGTCCTCGACCCTCCTCCTTCCACATCCTCGCCTTTTTTCCCCACATGTTTCGTGGGGTTCTTGGTTTCTTCCCTGCCGCGTCGCACCCGCGTTTTTTTCCTCCTCCTCCTCCTCCTCCTCCTCCTCCTCCTCCTCCTCCTCCTCCTCCTCCTCCTCCTCCTCCTCCTCCTCCTCCTCCTCCTCCTCCTCCTCCTCCTCCTCCTCCTCCTCTCCCTCCTTGCAGCCGCACACGCATCATACACATGCGCGCGATATTCGCAAGGCGTGTCAGGCGTGGCACTTTCTCGACACCCTAAGGGGTTGCGCAGTGGTTTCTCACCGTGGTCTCTATCCGCCTCAGGGTCTCAAGGCGTGGCAGGCGTGGCACTTCCATGGGGGGTGCGCAGGGGGTGGTCCCTCTCTGTGGTTTCTATCCGCCTCAGGGTCGCAAAGCGTGGCAGGCGTGGCACTTTCTCGACGCCATAGAGGGTGCGCAGGGGGTAGTCTTTCACCGTGGTCTCTATCAGTCTCAGGGTCGCGGGGCGTAGCAGGCCTGGCACTTTCTCGAAACCATAGGGGGTGCGCGGGGGGTGGTCCCTCACCCTGGTCCATATCCTTCCCAGGGTCGCGGGGCGTGGCAGGCGTGCTTTCTCGACACTGGAAGGGGTGCGCAGGGGGTGGTCCCTCACCGCGGTCTCTATCCGTGCCAGGGTCGCGGGGCGTGGCAGGCCTGGCACTTTCTCGACACCATAGGGGGTGCGCGGGGGGTGGTCCCTCACCGCGGTCTCTGTCCGTCCCAGGGTCGCGTGGCGTGGCAGGCCTGGCACTTTCTCGACACCATAGGGGGTGCGCAGGGGGTGGTCCCTCACCGCGGTCTCTGTCCATCCCAGGGTTGTGGGGCGTGGCAGGCCTGGCACTTTCTCGACACTGGAGGGGGTGCGCAAGGGGTGGTCCCTCACCGCGGTCTATATCCGTCCCAGGGTCGCGGGCCGTGGCAGGCCTGGCACTGTCTCGCAACCAGAGGAGTTGCGCAGGGGGTGGTCCCTCACCGCGGTCTCTGTCCGTCCCAGGGTCGCGGGGCGTGGCAAGTCTGGCGCTTTCTCGACATCGGAGGGGGTGAGCAGGGGGTGGTCCCTCACCGCGGTCTCTGTCCGTCCCAGGGTCGCGTGGCGTGGCAGGCCCGGCACTTTCTCGACACCAGAGGGGGTGCGCATGGGGGCAAATCTCGCCGTTGCATTCAATCAGTTGCACTAGCAGGGTATTGCGCAACATCCAAATCTGAAGACACTTTGGCTCAAGCCGGCTTGGAGCGCCAGGGAACCCAATCGAAGGTCGCAGTTACTTGTTGCTCGGTGCGCACATACTATAAAATAGGTATGTAGGGTTCCTCGGTAGTGCAATTCCTCCTCTTGTTCCTCCTCCTTTTGCACCTCCTTACTATTCCTCCTTATTGTGCGACCCCCCTCCTGATTCTTCCACCCCCCTTCTCTTTTTCCTTCTCCTTATTCAACCCCCTCCTTTCCCTCGTCGTATTCCTCCTGCTCATCCTCCTGCTCACCCGCCACCTGTTCCTCCCATGTACGCAGCTCCCTTTTGCGAAACCGCATAACACTACGCTTGTGTTCCCAAGTTCCAGGTCGGCTATGACACGAGTCTGCGGACACAGAGAAATCAGCACAACGGGAAGGGACGGGAGGGATGGATAGGATGTCAGATAGCGCACCTAGCTTGTCCTCCTCCCTCTCCCCTTCCGCCTTCTCAAGGAGAAGGCGGGAGACACAAGTGGGAAAAATGACTAAGAAGACACATCTCCTGGTAGCAATCGAAAGACCACATAACCATGCACGGGACGGACAAAAGAAAACCGCAGTAGCGGGAATGACGATGGCGATGGCGACGAACCGAATGGAAGTGCAACAACAACAACAACGAACAATCGGTATGTACGCGGACGCTTTCAACTGCCGCTGAGCCAAACATCGGGAAAGTCATGACACATAGCGCACGTAGCCTTACGCATCTTTTCCACGTGGCTGTACGGGAAGCACACGCCTGCAATGAGGAGAACGTCCCACTCCCAAACACTGCAACGCCCGCTCCACATCTTACAATCCCCTGCCTTCGCACCAAAAAACTGGCAAACGACAATATACGATGAGGACGAGGACGCTTCCGTGAAGCATCCATCGCTCCGAGTGCTAGCGTGTCTAATGCAGGGGGCAACCATGTGGCACTGTGACGCGCCGCTCTGCAAAGGCGTCGGGTCAATCAGACCGCGCTTACGACACGCAATCATGTGCTACCAAGGGAGCCCCTCGGTAAGGGCTCTGGGGCTCTGTCGACGAAGGTCGGGGACGCGCTAACCAAGGTAACCGATAACCTGGCGACTGTGGGGACATCATGCCACAAGATGGCATTACCAACAAACTCGTGGCCGATTCCAGGAGGAGTGCTTTGGCGGTCTTTCGCGGGTGACTCGCTATGTGATTGTGTATTGATAGCAGCATATGTTGACTCATGTTTTCTATGATCGGTGATAATAGATGGTGGCACGATGAAACTGGCCAGTGTGAATTGTTATAGCGTGATGCGATTACACCACGTACGCGGCCGATGAGTTAGACTCCATGGTTGTGATGCTACTGCTGGTGATCCAGACATAAAATTATGCCTGCGTGCTTCTATGTGTACAGCTACTTGGATATAGACGATCGGTGCTAGTACGTGTTATTGAAAACTGGCCATGTCGTATGCATTGGTGCCTGTGTTTGGCGTGCGCTCTTGGTGTGCATGGAACCGTACATGCATATGCATACACCGTCATATCCATGTATATAAATGTGTATATATAAACACAAGGGCATGCGTCTGTGTTTGACACTTTTGCGTGTAGGGGTAAACGTGTATACATATACATGTAAGTACACATACAAATAATAGGTACTGCTTTTCTGCCACACAACAACAACTCGACCTGAATAGCGCATCCCCCCGAAACAAATGGAAAGTCGGTTCCATAATGCGCGAACGCTGCCCCAAGAGAGAGAGACGGAGATAAAAAATGAGTCAGAAACTAGATCAAAGCTAATGACACTGCGAATGGGATTTCCCACGGAGGGAATATACTGCACCAGAAGAAACATAAATCTCGTCATAGACAACAGCACGAATCGCAAGCGACTCCGGGCAAAGTCGCAGATTCGCATTAGAATGTAGAACGGGAAGCGAAGAGATGAATGGCCAAACGGACAAGATAGTTGCCACACCTGCTGTCCCAAGTGCCGGTGTCTTGGTACACAGCAGCCCAACAGCAAAATAGCACTGGCGAGAAAAAGGAAGGAGGAACGTGGAGAACAACATGCAAAATTGATGACCGGAAAACTGTCAATATCCATGTCCTCTGGATGGAGCAGCCCAACCGTCCGTCACCCAAGCAAGCGGACGATACGACAGCAAAAAGCAGAAGTTCGAGCCACGGTAAAAGATAAACTGTCTGAAGAAGAGAACGGTGAAGCCGACAGAAGAAGAGACAGTACATATATATATATATATAGATATATATATATATATGTATACATATATATACATAGAGAGAGAGGCAGAGACAGCGAGAGAGAGATCAGACGGCAGGATTGGAGTGCGGAAGTGGGGCAGGAAGAAAGAATAACCTCCGAGCTCCACCTCCTCCGGCCATCCACCACATTTCCAGATGAAGACAACGAAGAGAGGAAGGAGGCGGGAACAGGGCGGATGAGGAAGACTAGTGAGCAGGGAAGAGGGGGAAGAGGAGAAGTGGAAGACGCCGGTAGTTGAGAAGGACAATAAAAATGAAGGGAAGGGGGATCATGGCGAGGGAGGTAAGAACAAATAACAAATATCGATTATATCATGTGTGACAGATTGGACTCTGGCAAGTAAGTGATTGCAATGCGCGTGCGTGAGCGATGTGGTTTGAGCTACTTGATGTAAGCAATGCAATGTAAACCAGGTGAGTTGAGCCCTGTGGCTTAAGCAATGTAGCGTGCTCAACGTTGTGTAATTTATCAGAGTGAGGGGGCCGAACGGTCAGTCATTGTCCCTGGGTGCGTGGCTGAAGTGTGGATCCATGATGAGGATTCTGCTTGTTGCGTTGTTCTTGTTGCTGTTGTTGTTGTTGTTGTTGTTGTTGTTCTTGTTGTTGTTGTTGTTCTTTGTTGTCGTCGTCCCCCCGCGACCCAGCCCGTGACCCACCCGCGACCCACCCCACGACCCACCCGCGACCCACCACGCGACCCGCTCGCGACCCACCCGCGACCCACCCGCGACTTGGCCCGCGACCCACCCGCGACCCACCGTCGACCCACCCGCGACCCACCTGCGATCCAACCCGCGACCCACCTACATTGTTTGAACAAAAAAGCGGCGCCTGCGGCGGGCTCGTTGTATAGCTTGAAAAGTTTGCGCCTGCGGCGGGCTTCTTCAAAGCCTCGCAGACTGCAGACGTTCCCGCCGCCCCCTCACTCTTATCCTCAACTGAGGGGTGCTACGTATGAATATCGACCTATGTGATGTGAGGAGGAACAAATGGGAGGGACATGATAATTGGGAAGTGAAGACACAATGAAAGGGGGCGCAAATAAGGAAGGGCGAGCAATCGGTCTCACCAATCGTGCTATTGATCTCACTATCTATGTCGCAATCGATCTCACCAATCATGCTACCGTCGATGACACAATCGATCTCAGCGTCGACCTCACCAGCGAAATCACCATCGATCTCAGTACCTCTCTCAGTGTCGATCTCTCTGGCGACCTGAAAGTTGGTCTCACCATCGATCTCACGACCGATTTCATTATCGAGCTTAGTATCGATCCCAATACGGAGCGCACGATGTGTATCACTATCTATACCACGATTGGTCTGACAATCAACATAACGATCGATCACACGATCGATGCCGCGATCGATCCCACCCTCGATCTGACAATCCACCGCGCAATCGGTTCTAGTACCGATCTCATAATCGATCTGACCATCCATCCCACAAGCAACCTCACAATCGATCTGTCGATCAATCATCTCACTATGGATCTCCCCATCGGTCCCGTTATCGATCTCAGTATCGATTTCGAGGTCGATCTCACGATCGCTAGCACTATCGATCTCTTCATTGACATAACGAGACACCACGGCGCACTAAAGAACACCGCGCCAAGGGCCACCACGGGCCACCGCGGCACAGCACGACAACTGAACATCACTAAAAACTATCCCATCCCTCCAGCTCGGCCTGGAAGAGAGCAGCACCACACCGAAACGACCACGGCGACGGCAGCGACGCAGGAGGCGGCGGCGGTCCCCCTCCTTGTCGATCGTCGTCGTGGCCTGGGGAAACGAAAAAGGCACCGGTACCTGTACCCCCTCCACGGACCACTCCTGGGATGCGTTCTGACCCGGAATTCGGTGAGAATCCAGCGGTGGACGCAAGGGCCTCCCAGGAGGCACAAAAAAGGGAAACCGAGGCAAGGGTAGTGGTGTGGATACCTTTTCCTCCCCCAATCGTCGTCGCCGATCTTCTCGTCGTCGTCGTCGATCGTCGTCGTCGTCGTCGCCTCACCTGTTCCTCTGGTCGTTCCTCCTCCTCCTCGTCCTCCTCCCTTCTCCTGCAGAGATGTCAAAGGAGAGAAATCCATGAAGGCAAAAGAAGCGAATCGCCTGAAACACCAACAACACAATCTGGGCGGGAATCCTGCAGGGCCGTGACCCCTGGCGGATCGATCCCCCTTGTGGTGCCCAAGTGCCACGTTTGCTAGACCGCGATAATTACTTGACCCGCAACAGCGAGAACAACGCTTGTCACGCGCACCAGCTGAAATTCATCAAATTGCACCTCGCCAACTTTAAATGCATTGATTATGCCCGGATTAAACTCATCCGTGTTAATTCGCCCGGGTTGAGTTCATCCGATTTCAATTCGCCCGTTTAACTTCAACTGGTTCTAATTCACCCACTTTTAATTCGTCCGGTTTGAAATTGCCCACTTCAATTAATCTGGTTCTACTTCCCCTGGTTAAAGTTCAACTGTTAATAACTCGCCTTGTTTGACATCATCTGGCTTGAATTTGCCTGGTTTAAATTCATCCGGTTTTGATTTCCCCGGTTCGCACACACAACGCGAAAAGCAGAAGCGGGCGAAACAAAAGCGCACGAAACAATCGCGGATGAAACAAACGCAGACGAAACAAAAGCGGACAAAACAACCGCGGACGAAACAAAAGACGGACGAAACAAAAGAGGAACGACACAAAAGCGGACGGAACAAAAGCGGATGAAACAAGAGCGGACGAAACAAGAGCTGACGAAACAAAAACGGACGAAACAAACGCGGACGAAACAACAATCCTCCGGGCGGATAACCCCTGGGGCGGGAAGATCCGCTTCATGTTTACGTGGAAAACCACGTGGTACAATACACACTGTGCGAGTAAGCGAGGCAGCGACGCGGCGGCGACGGCGACAACTTAGCCGAAAGACCGACAATCAGGCCCACACGACGGGCGGCGACGAGGCGGCGACGGGTCGGCGACGGCGACAACACAGCCGCCAGACCGACAATCAGGCCCAGATGACGGGCGGCGACGAGGCGGCGACGGGGCGGCGAAGGGGCAGTGACGGCGGCAACGCAGCCTCCAAACCGACAGTCAGGCCCAGTTCCAGTTCCTGAGAAGAGAACCGAGAAGCCCGAAATGCAAACACTGTTTGGGGAACATGAATATGCATGTATGTTTGTGCAAATATGGCATCCTTTCCCTCCTACGCTGGGCTAACATGAACATGCCGATACCGCCACTCCCTAGACCTCTCCAGGGGCGCGGTCTGACCAGAGCCTCGACGCGAACCCAGCCGACGCGACGAGAAACGGGCAGCAGCATCGGCACCTCTTCCTCAGGGCGATTTTCCCCCAACTCCCCCCCCCCCCCACACCTGGACGTTCGGGGGGGAAGGCTGTGCTCGGGAGGCAGAACGCACCACCGCTCAACCAGGTGCTGTGCAAATGCCAAGCCTCGCCAATTTTAAGTCGGGCCTGTCCCTCTACAGGGGGGTATGCACAAATAGTAAAAAATAGTCTGGGGACTATTTGTTGAATATGTTTTGCCATTTTGGAATATTGTTTGTTGAATATCTGTTATTTGTCGTCGAATATTCCTCCTGTAGACGGACTGGCCCGACTTAACGCCAGTTCCCTAACTCCGTGTTTCTGGGCGGATCGTGTGTGCGTTCGTCGTCTGCGCCGTTCGTCGTCGGCGCCGCTGCCGTGGTGCGCCTGCTGGGGGCTCGCTCCCTTCCTGCCATGCCCCCCCCCCCACCAAACTCCCATCCTTCTCATCCTCGTTCTCCTCCTCCTCCTCGTCCTCCTCCTTCTTCCTCCCTCCTCCCTTCCTCCCTCCCTCCTCCTCCCTCCCTCCCTCCCTCCTCCTTCCCTCCCTCCCTCCTCCTCCTTCCCTCCTCCCTCTCCTCCTCCTCCTCCTTCCTCCTCCCTCCAACTCCTCCTCCTCCTCCTCCTCCTCCTCCTCCTCCTCCTCCTCCTCCTCCTCCCCCCTCCTCCTCCTCTCCTCCTCCTCCTCCTCCTCCTCCTCCTCCTCCTCCTCCTCCTCCTCCTCCTCCTCCTCCTCCTCCTCCTCCTCCTCCTCCTCCTCCTCCTCCTCCTCCTCCTCCTCCTCCTCCTCCTCCTCCTCCTCCTCCTCCTCCTCCTCCTCTCCTCCTCCTCCTCCTCCTCCTCCTCCTCCTCCTCCTCCTCCTCCTCCTCCTCCTCCTCCTCCTCCTCCTCCTCCTCCTCCTCCTCCTCCTCCTCCTCCTCCTCCTCCTCCTCCTCCTCCTCCTCCTCCTCCTCTTGGCGGGGAAGAGGCACGGGGGCAGCAGCAGGACCCCCTCCCCCGAAGGGGCGCCGGCGGAGCGCAGAAACTGCTGCACCCGGTCGAGTGCCGCCGCGCCGTCGTCGTCGCCGTCGGGGAGCTCCGACAGGCACGCGCCCGCGCGCTGGCCTGTCGCGCGGGGAGGGGGAGGGGGAGGGGGAGGGGGAGGAGCGGGGTGGGGGAGGGGGAGGAGGAGGAAGAGGAGGAGGAGGAGGAGGAGGAGGAGGAGGAGGAGGAGGGAGGAGGGAAGGAGGGAGGGAGGAGGGATGGAGGGAGGGAGGAGGGAGGAAGAGGAGGAGGAGGAGGGGGGGGGAGAGAAACGTTTGACCGTGGGGGCTCCAACTGCTGCGACTTCTGGGGCAGCGACCGGTGACTGACAGAGCAGTGGCTGGGCAGACGCAGGCACAGGCGGCAGGGCAGCCAACAAGGCACCTTTGGAAAGGCAACTGAGCTCGAAAGATGCCCTCTGAATCGACTAACGCTGAAGGCTTAAGTGCATACGGATGCTTGCCTTCAAGCATATTCAAGATCGTCTTCGGGCGGGGCTTCGCAACTCTCGGACAACTCTTCTACTTATACAAGTTACTCTGAATAGAGAGAGAGAGAGAGCGCACCAGCGATGATATGTACATTACGACGATGAGTCGTGAGTGATATGGGCACTCACCAGCAGCGACTCCATTTGCAAACGATCGAGGGTTAGGTCGAGCAGTATTAGAAGCGTTCGGGAAGTGATCGGACGTCGGTTTCTATACAGAAGCCTCTGCTGCGCAGCTGACGGAGTATGTGTCACTGTTTGTACAGGAGGTGCTGGTTTAGGACCAGCTGTGAGTGTGGGTAGTTCTGGGTGGTAGCGCAGACGTACTGCAAATGCTTCCCAGAAGCCTGTGTGTTCTCGACCGTCGTCGGTGCCGCCGGAGTGGCAAGGGTAGCGTATGTCGGCCGTCGGTTGGTGCGGCTGTTGCCTACGGGGAAGGAATGCGTGCAGGGGCCGCGTCGCGGTGCTAGTCAGGGCAGGCCGGTGATACACATGCAGCGCGGTCAGGAGCAAGCAGCGGTGGCAGAGATTTCGGTGGTGGTATTCAAGGTTTCTGGATCTGCTGTCATTCGTGAAATACGCTGTTGGGTTTCTCCTTGTCGGCACCGTGCGGTCTGGAGTAGAGCTTTCTGTGCCCGGTGGGGCGAATGCATGCTGAATTCTATGGCAAGGAAAAGGGGTCTTGGATAAATGATGCAAAATGGGAAAATTAGTGCTGCTCCTGCTGACTCCATCCTCCCTCCTCGGACCTCCGAATACCGCCCCGATCCCCCCCTTCCCCTCCTACTGCCTCTCAAATTCCATTTTCTCCCATGAACTCTCTGCCTGTCCTCATCCTCTGTGCTTCCTCCTCCCGTTCCCTCCCACCCACACCGTCCTCCTCACCCGCCCCCTCCCCATCCCCTCCTCATCATCCATTTCTCCTGGCTCCCCACACCCCTCGTCCTCTGATGGTGCGAGGAAGGACGCGGTGGAGAAGGAACATGGGGGCATATTGGGGAAACGTGGCAACTGGGGATGGAGCTCAGTACAGGCTTCTTGGTAAACTTCCGCGCCCACCGTGGCCGAGTCAGCACCGCAGTGGCCGAACCGATGGCGGAGCAGGGAGGGTGACGAAGATGTATCCCCCGTCTCTTCTCTCTCGCTCTCTCGGCTGCACGCAAGAGTAACCCGAGGCCAAAGTAGCCTTGGGTGCGCGGCCAAAGGGGGGCCCTGGGGGAACACCACCAGGCGCGCAAGCCGCTGCTGTCGCATCGCATCCCAGCGATCGGGGAGCCCCACTGGGCCCGCACCAGAAGGTCACTCTGGAGAAAGGCCACTCGTACGTGCAGTCGGCTCTCGCCCTCCCCTGCTCGCTGCTGCCCCACGTCCGCTGCGGGCCCCACATCCGCTCCTGCCCCGCCCGCCATCGCCGCGGCCATCGACGACGACGGCTCGCCCGCTCCCGGCCCCGCCACCACCTGCTGCACGCGGCACAGGCGCGGGTGCGGACGGCTGAGCCCCGGGCGGATCGCGTTGCGCTCGAGGACGGCGACCCTGCTCACGTACCCGACGAAGTCCTCCAGCTCCCATTCGGGGATCGACTGACCCGGTCCAGTCAGGCTCTGCAGGATCCCCCCGAATCCTACGGGATCCTGCAGAAGGCTGCGCGCAGGCCTGCATCAATGTATCCCTGGCCCTGCACCACCCTGCAAGAGCCGGCGCTCTGACTGACCGTTTGAACTGACCAAGTCCCTTGAGCCCCGACTGACACTCCCGCCAAGGCTCCCGGGCGGTCCCTGCTCTCGAAGACCTGTGATGCTTGGGAGGTGGCGGGGCCTTCCGACAGCAGGCCTGCAGGCTCCCGGGGACCGAGCGCGCGGCCCCCCAGAGCACACATACACACACAGGTCTGAGCTAGGGGGAAAACAAACCTACCTCGCTTTTGACCACCCTCGCTTCCAAGAGATACCACACGAGGCCAAACTACGGCCTGTACTGGTCAGGCCGCTTGACAAGGAGGCGCGTGGTATGACTTGGTTTTGCCTGGAAGCGAAAGCGGGGTAGGTAATTCACGCTCTGATGAACACAACACGCGGTGACCATGCGGGGGTTCGGCCCAGGGGCTCGTCCCGGGGCCCAGGCTCATGGCTGACCGGCGCGCTGCCAGAGGCACAAAAGCAAAGCACGCTGAGGGGCTCCACCAACTTCGGAGCTCAGCTGCCCCGATACGCAACGCGCAGCACGTATCGCATTGATACGGAGCTCAACACGGAGGCCGAAAACGTGGGTCCGACGCGATACAGTCGCCGAGACGTGGTCCAACACGTGGAGCCAACACGCAACGTATTGACACGGACGTCTTGAACACGGGACGTGTTCGCGTTTCAAGACGGAGGCATCGAGGCAACTGAGCTCCGGAGAGCCCAAGTGTGCGCCACCCAGACGGACCCGCCTGCTGCTCTCCAACCTCGTCCGCACACCCTGCCTGCCACGCGTGCCTCCTCCGACGCGTGCGTGCCTCCACCGGAGCCGCCACTGCGCGGAGGTGCCCCCGGTGGATCTCGGTGCTCCGACCCTCGGGGGCGGCCAAGAGGGGGGCGTCCAAGAGGGGGGGCGCAAATCATGGCCGGCGCCATGTGCGCGGGGGGAACGTAACGCAAGAAGCAGAAGCGCCATGACATCTGGGGAAACATGATTGCCCACGCCACGATACCCACCCCCCCTCAGTCCTCACCCCCCTCTCTGCCGCCCCGGGAGCCCGTGGCGCGTCGGGTGCCCCGGAAGCTGCAGACCTGGGCCGAACCGTTCTCCACAGCACTCGCTCTCGCCAGGTGCACACGTCGGTCGGAAGAGGCAGGTAAAAGCGTGAGGTAGGAAGGCGGATCGAGTTGCTTGGGTCCAGGCCCCCCCCCAGGGAATAGCAGAGCACAGCAAACGCATGTCGATTCTTGAGGTAGGACGGCGCTTGAAGTAGACTGGGATCTGGGAATCCACAAATACAAATTTTCAACGACCGGCGTGTACTTTTTCTTCGTTGAAGGCTCAACGAGTTCGGCCGCTCTTCGACTCGAGCTGGAGCGGACGCGAGCTGCTCCAACTGTCCCTCGAGATCTCTTGATCAGCCAGGATTTACCCATGTTTATTTCGATATACCTGGAATTATCTGGATCTACCTTGATTTATCTGCTATCTGCCTGGATTCATCAGGCTCGGTCCCCACAAGTCGATTGGCGAAAAGTCGACAAGCCCTTCGGGATTTCCAAGATCCTGGCTAGCAGCGTCCTGGTTTAGGGTGCCTGAAGCAGCTCCGTGGTGGGACGGCAGGATGCGGCTAGAAGCGGGCATCGGGCACCGGGTGTGCTTCCCACGGCGAGAAGCGAGTGCACCAAGACGAGCTGGCCACCGCAGTGATGCACTGGGCCTCCTCCCTGGCCGCTCGAAAGACGCCCTCTCCTCGAACGCACTGCGACGCAACGTCAAGGGTATCGCGGAAACGAAGACCGCAGCACGCATGCTGCAGAGGAGGGGGAGGTGGGGGATACCTCGCGCCTTCGCGACTGCGGCCAGGCCCTGAGGCAGGTCCCCCCCAGCCGCCTAGACAAGCATTGCCCACATCATCACCTGCCTGGCAAAAACGGAAGGGGTGGGAAGCAGCAAACGCAAACCGACACGCAGGCTGATAAACAAAGACCACCGCACAATCTCGGCCGATGGACAGGCACGCAATACACTGCAAGCGACACATAACACATTGTTCTGAGCATGAGGGCTTGATGAACGGGCTGCAAACAAAAACCAGATGGGAGCAGCGAGAAGGTGATGCAGCGGTGGCCACCTTCTCAAAACCTACGTCATCAGATCGCCAACGTCTCAAGCGAACGATGCAATCGGAGCGGCCAAACTCTTCACAATAAATCTGCGCTGGCCCAACCGCAAAAAGCATCGACGCAGTTCGAGACATCGTGCGAGGTGCATCCAGCAAGAAACTTGCCAAGATAAAACAAGCGTAGTATCAAAAACATCTTCAAAAAACGGTGTTGAGTCGGCCCGGTATGTTCGAACGAGCCACAACCTATGGAATCAATGAACGGGTCCATGTAGTCGAAATTCTGAAACTTGGAAAGCTGCGTGGCCAAGTAGAGAGATCGCTGCTTCGTGCTGGTCAGAAAACCTCCCCATCAGGTTCGGCAGCGCCACTCCTCGCACACATAGCTGTATCCCCCTCCACCGACAGTAACCACCATTGGTCCCCCACTTTTGTCCAGCCCTTCTGACCCAATCCTCCACCCTTCCCTCCGCTCTTAAATCTTCTCCTCCTCTCCTGGAGACGCAGGAAGAACAAGGGGGAGGGCGCAAGATGATGAAGATGAGCAGGAACAGGAGGGACAACCGTGGACTGCATGCACGCGCGGAAGAAGAACCCGTGCCACAAGCAGACAGGACCGTGAAGGCGCCAATGCCAGAAGGACAACCAAGGGCAGCATGCGGATACTGCCGCACCACACGTGCGCCCCCCCCAAGGCCCTCTTCCGCACACGCCTCGCCGCCTGGCCTCCTCCCGACCCTGCGCCTGGTGTCTCCGACGACCAGGGTTAGGTCGGGCGTGTCCCCCCCACAGGGGGATGTTGTTGTTTGACTATGTTTGAACATTCCCCCTGTAGAGGGACAGGCCTGGCTTAAGACCAGGGGCTCGGCTCGCGGTGAGAAAACAGTGGGCGGTCGGTTCGGGCTTCGGGCTCCCTCGGCTCCGTTTTTTTCGGTCCTCGGACCACTGGCAGCCTGCCACGGAGAGGGGCATCATGCAGAAGCATCAGCATGATCATATTCATCATCCTCAGCCTCAGCCATCGACATCCGCATCGCCATCGTTGTCGCCATCGTCATCGCCAGCAGCAGCAGCAACATCATCGTCATCGGCGGCACCATCCTCATCAGTAGCACCAGCACCAGAATCAACACCACCAGCATCAGCATCTACATCAGCAGCGTCAGCATCATCTGCGTACCAATCACCGCCAACGTCGCCATCGCCATCATCATCACCACCTTCGCCACCATGATCAGCATCACCACTGATACGGCCTGGAGCCACGGATCGCCCTGGGACGCACAAATACATACACACAAACAAAAGGATTCCCAATATTTTCCAATTTTTCCTGGGTTCTTGTCTCCCCCCCCCAACTTCCCATATTTTCCAATATTTTCCCTGGGAGTGGAGCGCCCTCCCCTCCCCTCCTCCCGCCCCGCGCCCGCCTCCGCCCGTCTCGTCCTCCCGCCGCCGGTTCACCTGCGCTTCCCGTGGCCCCGACCGCCTGGGCGCGCGTGCGAACTGCCTCTGCCGCGCTGCGGTGTAACAATGTTCGGGGCACCCGCTCGCGGCATGTTTCCAGCGGTTCGAGGCCCAGCTCCGGGCAAGGTGGGGGCCCCCACGCCCCCGCCCGCAGGGGTCCCGAGGAGGCTCGGTCCTGGGAAGCTATAGGGCCCACCTCGATGTTAAGATCTCCACCGTCATGCGGAGATCGTTCAGGAGGGGGAAAAACACACAAACACAATTCATCCTCATGGCGGGTGCCGCCGCGGAGCGGCCAGGGCGGCCGGCCGGTGCTGCACCGCTGGCATGCTAGGGGTCGGAATGGCTTCCACGCCTCGGACATCAGGCTGGCTCGATCCCTGCTGCCTCGGAGGTGGGAGACGACAGCTGTTCCAAAATCGAACCCCTACCAGCGGACCAGGAACTTTTAGAAATCCGAGGTGTCTCAAGGGCTCTCCCCTCCAAAGACGTTCCTGGAGTAACGGTCCCGGCGTCATGGCTAGGCCGTTCGGTGCGAGGGTCATGACAACAGACCCTCCAACCAAAAATGAAAGCGTCCAGATTCCAATCTGGGCTTGATGTCTGCAGTACGACATCTTCGTAGTGTGCCTGAGGCTGGGCGTATTGCGAATACGATGGCCTTCGCGCTGGGCAAGAAGGATTACATAAACACATCTGCAGTGATCAAGCGGGAGCCCAGCTCCCTCTACTGACTATCGGCACTGCCTGACAACTAACGTCACCCATCTTCGATGACACGACTCATCGGGCGCATCATCCTACAACTGTGTCTTAGGCAAATGGCAGCGGCTAAACCTGTTGGCAACCTATCACCTCCGTCCCCGCACCCATGTGGATAAGAGCGTCGTGCAAGAGCTCGCGCGTAACCTCGTGGGCCCCGTAAACCGCGAAGCGCTTGAAGGCCAAGGACATGAACCTTATACATATATATATATATACACATACGTATGCATATGCATGAACAGCAGTGTGCTCGATGGAGGTGTCCCTCTCTCCTTCATGCATGGTTGGTGAGCCTTCATCAGCGTGTGAAGCCTCTGTTGCTCTCCCGTTCGTCGCGCACCCCTTCCTGCTGCCACCTCTCCGCGCTGCCCTGGGAGACCAAGCGCCAATGCATGTCTGCCCATCCCGACAAAGAAAACACTCTCACCACATCTGCGCCGCCGCGGGGAAGCCGAGAGAGGGAGAGGAGGAGGAGGAGGAGGAGGAGGAGGAGGAGGAGGAGGAGGAGGAGGAGGAGGAGGAAAGGGAGGAGGAGGAGGAGGAGGAGGAGGAGGAGGAGGAGGAGGGGGAGGAGGAGGAGGGAAGGAGGAGGAGGAGGGAAGGAGGAGGAGGAGGAGGAGGAAGAGGAGGAGGAGGAGGAGTAGTAGGAGGAGGCCACTCAACACCGCACAACACCGCTAATGCCACGGCGCCCGTCGCCGACGGCAACGCGCCGGACGTCCAACGCCGCCGAGGCCACCGGCCTCCGCCTGCCGGGCAAGGCCCTAGGCCCTAGGTTGGGCATGCCCCCCTACAGTCGGGGCCTTGACCTAAGGAACCCAAAATAAGGAACGAGGCCCCTTTTTTCCATAAGTTAAACTTCGATTTCCCATCGAAAGCCCTTAGGAAAACCTGAGGCAAGCTGCGAAACAATTAAGGAACGCGGAGCCCCTCCCCAACGAAAAGGGTTCCTTCTTCAGGGCCCCGACTGTACAGGCGGACTTCGGACGAAGAATACAAAATGCTCAAAAACAAAGCAACACAGTAACTCGGACGCAAACGAAAAATACAAAAAAGTAAAATACCCAATACTGGGAGGTGAAGATACTCAATACTCGGACGAAGTACGATACTATACGACCACACGACTCAATACTCGGACGGAGAATAAGACATACTCCATACAGTACTCATACAAAAATGCCCAAGTCAAACAACACAGTCAAAGCGTACTCATGAAAACGCCTCCGACGAATTGTTTTGCCAGTTTCTGAACATTCCTCCTGCAGAGGCACGGGCCCGACATGAGGCAAGCGTCTGGGAGAAGGGGGGGCCGGCCGAGACGGGCATCGAGCCCGAGGGCGATCGAGGGCGGCCATCGCAGACAGATGCGGTGGTGAAGCTCGCGTCGCGCCCTTCCAATGCTGCGCCCGCTCTGGCGGGCGCCTGTCGTGAACCTCTACCTCCTCGTCCGCGTAGCCGGCGTAGACCTCGCCGTGGGTGAGTGGGTGAGAGGCGGGGCGGCTGCGCGCTGGGCCGCCGCAACAAAATGACCGCGGATACCTCTCGCAACGGTCGGAATTCACGGGCCGTCGATGCCGTCGAGTCCAGCACGCCAATCTGCCTAAATAGCCTTCCAAGACTCGCTCAGGGCGGACCCGAGCGGGGGGGGAAGTGTAGTGTTTGTTGTCAGTCCAAGATGGCTCCACGAATACCCCAAATGGCCTCCAAGACGTCCCCAAGACGAATGGCCCGAAACGGGCCCAAGATGTCTCCAGGACCTATGGCCACAAGAAAGCCCAATATGGGCTCAAGACGGCCCAAGAGGCCGCCTAGACTGCTCAATCTAAAAGTTCGTGCAGGGCCAAAAAGATGGATAACCCGAATGTTGTTGGCATGTGTTCGCGTTCTCGTCACTTCGGGTTCTCGACGGCCCAAGCAGGCCCCAGAGGCCTCCAAGATTCATGTCGCCCCGGAGCAGGCAAACTGCTGAAACCTCTGTTTGATTCAAAATCTGAAATAGGTGCGAAAAATGTGGAATCGCGAAGCGGGCGAAGTATGAGTGCGAGTTTGCCCAGAATGAACAACGTGTGAAAACAAGTTCGCCCACACGTGGAAGTTTGAGACACACGAAACAAGATCGCCTGTAATTGGAAGTTTGAGAAGGTTGGGAACAAAGTCGGAAACAAGTTCGCCCAGATTTGGAAGTCTGAAATCAAGTTCGAAAACAGTTTGGACATAACTTGCCCAGGTAAGGATGTTTGAGAATTTGGAAACAGCGCAAACAGTAACACATTGTAATTTCGAGTCATATCTTCCCCGCACTTTTTTTCTACTTCCATTTCCCCTCAGTCTCACACTCATACTTCTGTTCTGTGTTGATTTCGCACTTCTGGTATACTTCGAATATCCCGCGCCTGGTCACCGGTTCCCTCGTTCGGGGCAGCATGACCCAAAATGACCCCGATCTGGTCCAAACAACACCTCCAACGACTCCAGGGCGGGCCAAGCGGGTCCCAAGATGGCCACGAGGCCCCAAAGAGGGCCACAAAAGAGCCACGAGACGGCCCCGGAGACTACCCCCAAGAAGCCTCAATCGCCCCCAAAAGACCCTCAAGAGAGCCCCAAAGCGACCCAGGAGGCCCGCGGTGGCTCCCAAGAGGCCCCAGGAGGTAGTCCACAGGCTCCTCTGAGCCCCCCCCATAAAAGCTCCCAGGAGGCCCCAGCAAGGCCCAAAGAGGTCTTCCTTCTCCTCTTCACCCGCCTCCTCACCCGCCTTCCTCCACACATGTTTGTCGCATGGAACCCCACAACGGCTGGGAAACACACACACACACGCACACACAATATATATATATATATATATATAGGGAAAGAGAGAGAGAGAGAGAGAGAGACAGAGAGAGAGAGAGAGAGAGAGCCAACGCTAACAACAAGGATGCACGATGAGGGTGCAATGGGCTTGGAAGGCCATGCCAGCACTTTGCGACGGGGGCGCGGCCAGCGGAAGTGGCCAAGGATAGGCCGAAGGGGGAGGATACAAGGGCAACCTTGGAAAATCGCTCATCCTCACTGTCCATGCTGACCGTAGTCCGATAGCTTGGCCAGACTTTGACCAAACGTGGCGGCGAGCGCGGGGGGGAAGAAAGAAGGGGCGGGCCCTCTCGGAAGGTTGGGAAGTCCCCAGAGCTTCTGAGAAGTTTCCTGAGCCATCCCCGACGACACAGAAATCTTCTCAGAAGGCGCGGGGGCTTCTGAGAAGTCCCGCCGCCTTCTGAGACGTCCTCCTCCTTCTCATTTCCCCCCTCGCTTGCCGCCGACAAACGTTTGGCCGCACATGCGCGTCCGACAGTAGAAGGAGACCAACAAGAGCAAAAACATTAACTTTCGGCGCTCCGCGCAGATTTCTTGCATCCGCGCTGTGCCCCCCTTCCTGGCGCGCGGAGCGCGCCAGGGGCGGGGCGGGAGGCGCCGCCAGGGGGCCCCAGCGCGGATCCAAGAAATCCGCGCGGAGGGAGAAACGTTTATATATATATATATATATGTATATAGATATAGAGTCGTTTCTTTTTCGAGAAAAAAAGCTGGGGGCGGCTGTAGTTCGCCGACGGCGCAACTTGCGGATTGGTGCTGGCGTTCCGGATGGTGCAGCACCTGGCCCTCCCCCCTGGGGTTCCCGGTCGGGTCGGGCATGTCCCCCTACAGGCGGATGTTGGAGGAAGAATGCAAGATAGTCAAACAATGCTCGAACACAGTCAAATGTAGAGGAACAAATCGTCCCCAGATTATAGTTAGATTATCTTTGAATTTTCCTGCTGTAGAAGGACACGCCCGACTTACCTGTATGAGTATCGTTTACCCGATCCCCATCCCCAGCGGCGTGGCCTGGGCCCCGCTGGCCGATCTACCCCCCTAGATGGGCCCATAGTTCGCTCCCTTCAGGTCTCGAGGGGTGTCTCCCCAACTGGGGCGGTCATTTGCTGGGGGTCGCGAAGGGGAGGGGGGCTGGGGCTGGGGCTCGGGTAGACGATACCGCACAGTACTTCGCCGACGGCGCCGCTTGCGGATTGGTGCTGCCGGCGTGCCGCACGGTGCAGCTCCGCCCGGCCCTCCCCCCCGGGGGTTCCCCACTGGGTCTCAACCCGGCCCGCGGGCACGCACGGAACCAGCACTCCGTCGGCGCTCGCGCCCAGGACTTGGGTCGGGCATGTCCCCCTACAGGCAGAGCTGGGAGGCAAAATGAGAATTAGTCAAAAGTACTTCATACGTTTTACTTTGAGAAAAAAGGATCGGCAGATCGTCCCCAGACTATGTTTTTGAATATTGTTGGATATTCCTCCTGTGCGAGGGACACGCCCGACTTCACCCAAGACGGCTCCCAGGGATGGTGTGCGAGAGGGCATCTGGCTTTCACGGAGCCGCAAACGCGTAGCTCTCCTGTTATCCGCAGGTCCAGCCAATTAAGCGTAGGTCGGGCCTGTCCTCCTACAGGCGGCTTTTGGATGAAAAACAAATCATAGTCAAACAATACTCAAAAACTTGGCAAAATCGCCCCCAGACTATTTGTCTGACTACTTTGGGGCCTTCCTCCTGTACAGGGGACAGGCCCGGCTGAGAATTCAGCCTCTGAGGCTCGAGGTCGTCGCCCGCTGGCCGCCCACGGACCTGGCGGCAGACGTGCAGACTTCCAGCCCCCGCGCGGAACAGTGCGAGGCACATGCCAAACGGCTGCCTGGCCTCGCGAATTTTAGGTCGGGCCTGTCCCCCTACGCGGGGGATTTTCGACGAGCAAATTCACAAATTAAGAAAAATCCCAGACGTATTCAAAAATGACCAAACATTGCTATAAAACAGAAGTAATTCCCAGTCTGTTTTTTATATCTATTTTCGAACATCCCTCCTTAAGAGGGCCATGCCCCTCGTTCCATGTGCCCATTCCGCCCCATCTCTGCCGTCGAAGTTATCGTTCTCCCCCTCATGAATTTGTGGTCGATAGCCGAGCGTTGCCGGTGAAACGTCCAGCGAAACGGCGTCTTATATTTGTATATATGTATATTTGTGTGCACATGTTTCCATGTATACATATACAAGTGTAAATATATAATCAGCCGATCCGGCGTGTGGGTTTCTGAGAGCGTGGGCTTGAGCTTGCTCAAGCTTCGCTCTACGAGGGGGGACCCTATTTAACTGATGGTTCATATGCTCGGCACCTGCGCTCCCCTGGGGGGGGGAGGGGGGGACAAGAGAGAGGCGGGGGGAAGGAGATAGGGGGGGGACAGGAGATGGACGGGGGGGACAGGCTGGCTCAAGCTTCGCTCTGCGAGGGGGGGGTCCAGAGGAGAGAGAGCGGGGGGGACAGGAGAGAGGAAAGGGGGGGGGACAGGAGAGGGGTAGGGGAGGGGGGGGGAGGGGGGAACATGAGAGAGGAGGGGGGAAAGGAGAGAGGGGGGAGGGGGGAACATGAGAGAAGGGGGGGGGGAGGGGAAGGGGGGGGGGGGGGGACAGGAGAGAGGGGGGGGGACAGGAGAGAGGGCGGGGGGCGGGGGGGGGACAGAAGAGAGAGGGGAAGGGGGGAGAGGGGGGGGACAGAAACAGGGGGGGAGGGGGGACAGGAGAGAGGGGGGGGGGGGGGGGGGAAAGGAGAGAGGAAGGGGAGGGGACAGGAGAGAGGGGGGCGGGTGGAGGAGAGAGAGGGCGGGGGGGGGGGCAGCAGGAGAGAGGGGGGGGGACAGGAAGAGGGAGGGGAGAAAGGGGGGGGGTGGACAGAGAGGGGGGGGGGGGAGGGGACAGGAGAAAGAGAAGGGGGACAGGAGAGAGAAGAGGAGTTTTGGGGGGCAGGGGAGAGTGTTTGTATACCTCTTGAATGGATGTGTCTTCCATCAAGTAGAGGCGTACAAAAAGATCATCTAGTCTATACGAGGGCCGTTCCGGGAACTCGTGGGAGCCATTTGGGCGGCTATTCGGAAGCTCTTGAGGGCTTCTTGAAGGCTTCTTCAGGGACTCTGGGGGCCTCTTCAGAAACGCCAGCTTGCTCCAGGGGCCACCTTGGCGCCCAGGGCGATCGGAGGGCTAGTTGGGGGGGGGGGGGGGGGCGCTTGGGGGGCTTCTTTTGGGCTTCTTGGGGTTTTCTTGAAGCGCTTCAGGGGGGCCTCGTGGGCGCCTCGTGGGCCGTTCATTGCGGCCCGAGGCCTTGGGGCGCTCTTGGGGGCCTCGTCTTGGAGCCACCTGGGACGCCTGAAACAATGGCTCCGGGAATGGGGCGATTTTCGCTGCTCGGGGCCCTCGAGGGGGTTCTCCTGGAGCCGTCTTGGGGTATTCGGGGGGCCAATGGGGTAGTTTTGAAGGCATCTTGGGCCGTTCTGGAGCATTCTGGAATCCAGAGCTTATACGGTGGATCCCGGCGCTTCAGGAAGGCTCCGGGCAAGCCCCGGTAGGCTCCAGGAGGGGAGGGGGCCCTTAGAGCACCTTATGCTGCGGGCCCAGGGCCCCCTGGGGCTGGGATTCAGGTGTATGCGAGATAGCTCCAACACAGGATCGCGCTCCTTCTCGTGTCGCCGTTGGTTTGCATGTGGGCTTGCCCGAAGGGGTAAGGGCGAGTGAGGGATGGGAAATGGGAGTTTGGGGCTGCGTGGTGTCGACGTGCAGCCCGCTTCCGCGGAGCGAAAAGGATGATGAGCATCAAGGGCATGGGGGGGGGGGGGGGCAAAACGAATGCCAAAGGCAAAAGAAACATGGGAGTGGGAGGGGAGGGGGGTGGGGCATAGAGCAACAGGCGCGAGGGATAGGGCAAGGAAATGTGAGTCTGCTGAGGAAGGCAAGGGGTACGGGGGAGGCGGCCTGGACGGAGAAAAGGAGGATACGACGACGACAATGACCTTATCCGCCTCACATTCCTCCTCCGCTCGCCATCGTTCGGACGTCCACTCCCCGTGCATTCTTCGATTTCGTGCGTGCACTTGTCGCAGGATGATCCAAGATGCTTCTCGTTGACCCTCGCCGAGGAAACATGCACACGTCCGAGCCATGCCAAATCCGATGAAGTCTCCTCCTCCTGCTCCTCCGGCAACGACGACGACTACGTACTCTCCAACGCCGACAGCGCCGACTGCCCCTCCACTCCTCATGTCCTCCTCGCCTGGCGACGATGCCTGGAAGACGACGCGTGCAAGACAACGCGTGGTCTCAGCCGACTGCTCGAACAAGATCGGCGGCGACCTCAGGGGGGAAGTGAGAAGGGGCGGGCCTTCTCAGAAGGCTCGGCAGTTGTTGGGCCTTCTGAAAGGGCTTCTGAGAAGTCCCGCCCCCCTCCGAGAAGGCCTTCTCCTGCTCGCTTCCCCCCCTCGCTCGCCGCCGAGAGGGAGAGGGAAACTGGGCCAAGATACTTTCGCGCGGCAGGCGACCGGCTGCGGGAGGTGGGAGGGAGGAGCAGGGAGGGAGGGAGGGGCGGAGGGGGGGGCGGGAGAAGCAGGATGGCGCCGCAGGGGAGCGCAGAGGCGGGGGCGGCCTCGAGCAACGTGGGCGCGAGAGGCACCTGCAGCTCCGTGTCTTCGGACGCCTGGCCAGGACTCCGGAAGGCCGCCCTCCGAAGCCAGGCAATGCCAAGGGGGGCTGACGACTGGTAGGGGGAGGGAGGGAGGGAAGACGAAGAGGAGGGAGGAGAGAAGGAGGGAGGGGGAAGAGATTTCGCGCGAGAGCGCGCTTTGGGAATCACCTGTGAAGGGATATCAGGCGGGAGCCGCTGCTTTCTCAAACCGGGGGCGAGGGGCCCGGCTTGGCGGCACCTCGCTGTCCCTCGTGGAGAGAAGAAAAACACGGCGCGAGCACTGGGCGAAGCACTTCCACTGAAACATGCAATGGTTATTGGAGGGGGGATCCACAATGATCACTCCGTAGACTTGGAAACTCAACAGCAACAGCAATCACTTTGAGACTTAACGCCTGAACCTGCCCACGTGCCATTCCACACGTGTGTTCCAAACCCTCGATACCCAGCCTTTTCATCTTCGGTCGTGCCCCCATTAGGGATGTATCTTTCTCACCTGCAACGTAAATACCGTGCAACCCCTGAGGCAGGGGAAGGGAGGACGGACGGGAGGAAGGGATAAGGGGCAGGCGGGTTGCTGAAGCGTGCGTCCTGAATGAATCGCGACGAGAACTCGAGCGCTAGCGCAGTTTTCAAATAAATCTCAAGTATATCCACAGCAAGAACGTTTTCCTGAAAGTCGAGGGCGTGGTGTCTGAATCGAGAGCACGATCTCCCTGGATAGATTGTTAAGAAGATTCACGCGAGATCGCGATTTCGGAATGCATTATGACGAAGTTAAATTCAGAAGCCGGTGTTGTTGTCAACTGGGCCCCAACGGCCCAGTTTGGTGTTCCATCATTTTCCAATGTTTCAAACAGGGTGCGAACCCCGGGATGAGAACTTGCATTAAAACGTGTGATGGTTATTCCGTTAAAGTAATAGCTCATCAACAACCAGAACAACAATACGCACTGCGGAATCCAGCTTCAGTCACGCACCCAAAAACAAAGAATGACCGATCGGCCCTCTCACTCTGATCATACGAAACCCACGAGCAAGACACATGACGGGTTCCAGACACAATAATCCCAACAATGATGTCGTCATCTCTTGGGGGCATGCGTTTTATTTCCGCCGATTTCCGCCATCCTTCCGCCATCCTTCCGCCGATTTCCGCGGTCGGAACCGCCTCGCTTACTTCCGCCAACTTCCGCCGCCTCAAGCCAAAGAGGAGAAACAACTCCTCCGATCCTCGAAAGCGACGCCCTTTTTCTGGAACGCCCTCGTGGAAAGAAAGCGAAGCATAATCATCGGCACACGAGAAGAGAGCGACGACCACGGCAGCGGCAGCCCGACCGCTTCGGGTTCGCCTGGGATCCGTCGCTCTCGGACGCGACCGGGCTGGGCGCGCACGTCGAGAACGTCTCCCGATTCTCGTTGTACGGCCGGTCGAGGCCGAAGCCGATGCCCGCCTGCGGAGGGCAGCGATCGCGCGCGCGCCCGAAGCAGTCAGAGACTGGCCCGCCCCAGTGAGGGAGAAGGTCGGCAGGCAGCGCGCGGGCGGCTTGCCAACGGGCTCTCGCACGCCCGAGATGTCAGGGAGCCTCGTCGCGGCGCCCAGCCCTTCGCTTCGCTTCGCTTCGCTCGCGGCTCCATGTCCTCGCGGGACGCAGCCGTCCGCGCGGGCGTGCCCGCGCGTGCGCCGAAGGCGCGCTGGAGGGGAGCACCCCCCCTACACGACCCCCGCCAGGAAGGCCCAGGGAAGGAGCCGTCAAGGCTCCGCCAGGGAAGGGGCGGGGGAAAAAAGGACGACACAAATACAAGGCATGCTTACGCCCCACAACAGACCCCAGAAGGCAAACGCTGTCCGGGGAGGGGGGGTCAAAAGTTCCGCTAAGGAGGGGGAGGGAGAGGCCACATGGGGGTGGCAAAGTGGAGAGAGGGGAGGGGGCTCATTGAAGGCCTGAGGGGAAGAGAGCTACCCCCATGACGGCCTGCCCGCGGGTGGCGGCCCAGGTCAGACCTGGACCGTGTCCTCCCCCCCCTCTCCCTAGAGGGGGCGTCCCTGATGTTGTTGGCGGTCTCCGTGAGCGCTACGGCGGTCTTGCCGTGGTGCGCGCTCTTGTTGATCTTCATGGGCCATGTTACGGCCAACTCTGATCAGCTCGGGCTGCCCGCGATGGATGCGACAAAATTGTCGATTGGATTGTCGTGCTCGTCGGAGGAGCCGTAATATACTGCATAGATGCTGCTGGTGACGTCTACCATGGTCGGTCTCTTCGTAGCGAGATTCTCCACTGCGTAGAACATCATCTCAGTGTTCCAGATCGTCGTTGTCCCTGCTGGGGCTGCAGATTGTGCTAGTAGTGCTGGTACTTCGGCGACGTGGGCGACGTGGAATGTGTGGATGGCGAGGCGGGCATGGTGGTTCGCGACCAGTCGTCGTTCGGCTGCCTCGCCTCCAAGGCTTACTCTGCCCCAGGGTTCTGTGGTTGTTCTTGAAGATGCTGCTTTTCTGTCATGCTGGTCGCCCTCGCCTTGGTCTGTCCACGTCCTGGATGAGAGGCTGATCATCACTCCCGCGAAGTCGCCTTGTCGAATGTGTTGGTGGATCGAGTCGAGGGCGTCGTACTGTGATGGGTGGTCGACAGAGTAGAGGTCGTCGAAGGTCATGATAACTCGTTCCATCACCATTCCCTTGTAGCATAGTCGTTGGTCCGTGATGTCCAACAGATCGTTCGGGTGTCTCTCGGTGTTGGTGAGGTAAAGAAGAGATCTGTTTCTGGTCGGTGTTCGAGGGTGGTGGGCTGGTGGTGGTGGTGTGAGCTCAGGTACTGTCGGGAAGAATGGCGGTGGTGAAGGTGATAGGTCGAGTGATGGTAAGGGAGTGACGTCGGATGCATGGGTAGGGATATGGTGGTATAGTTCGGGGCGTCCTCTGCGTTTGTTGTCGGCTATGCTGGTCGCGTAGATCGACTGGTTGTTGGCCACGTCCTCCTCCGTGAGGGCAGGTCCCTGTAAGTACCACATGTGCCATGACCTTCGGCAGCGGGCGACCGTGGTTAGATGCTTCACTAGCTTGGCGAAGGAGTGGAAGTTCTGGCGGCATATTCTGCACGACGTACCCGATGCCCAGTTTCGCGGGTGCTCAGGTCGTCGGTGTTCACGTCCGATATGTATTGCCATGCCCTGCTTTGTCTTGGTTACGATTCCGCACTCGTAGCAGATGAAGTTGTAGGCGCCGTTGTCGCGTGATGGCGTAGTGTCCGCACCCGTGGGGCCGTCGGGTCTGAGCACCTTGGTGAGCTTGTCGGCGTGGGCGTGGTCTTTAAAGGCGCGGATGTAGTTTGTGACGGCCAGGTTGACGGAGTTGGTGAAGTGCTTCGGCGTGGTGCGAGCCCATGCAAAAACGTCGGGGTCGAGCTTGCTTGTCGTGGGCCAGCGCTGGTCGTCCAGGTATGTGCGCAGGAAATCGAAGTCCTGGAAAAGCATGTATGTCCATGAGCCCTTCCTCCGTCGCTGGTTGTCAAGCAGTTGGAGGAGCTGCTGAGGAGCGTGTCGTAGAAGCCGTGGTAAATATCGCAACCTTCCAGCAGACTGGTGGTGGTCGAAGTCGGGGATGCCTGTGTAAGCAACTACTTCGGTGGCCGTGAAATGATGAAGCTGCGAGTTCGTCTTGGGTAGTCCAGCTGCCGTGCGGTAGGGCTTCGAGTAGGCGTTGGAGATGCGCTGGTGGTCGGTCTGGGTCAGTGTTGGCCAGACGTGATGGTTGAAGGTCAATGAGGCGGTCGAGAGGGCGTGCACGTACTTGATCTTCGTTTTGCGGGGTAGGCGTCGTCGTCTTAGGATTTGCCTCTCAAGAGCTCGTGCCGAAGCTTCGGTTCGTCGCATGCGATTCTGTACCTCGGGTCCCATGCTGCCGTTGGTTAGGATAGTGCCTAAGAGTCGGTGCTGGTCTGTGATCTGGACCGAGATCGACATGATGCTCAGCTGGATTGACGTAATGTTTTGCTGTGCAAGCCTGCTGCGTGCGACGTTGGAGCCCGTCCCGTTAAAGGAGATGATAACCTTGGTCTTGTCTGGGTGCGGCTTGAGCCCATAGGTGAAGGCGGTACGGCATAGACGTTCGGCTGAAGTTTTCGTAATGTCAATGATGTCGGAGTGGCTGGTGGTCGAGTTGAAGTCGGTGAGGTCGTCGACGAAGGACATGTTAGTCAGCTTGCCGCCTTGATGCGGGGCCGTAGAGAAGAGCGGGTTGTCGCAGGGGCGGATGTGGTGGCCACTCTCACCATCTTCTGCCCCTTCAGCGTCGTCGGCGATGGCCTGAAGCACTAGGGAGAAATGCATGTTGAAGGCCGCGTCGGAGTATGGCACCCCTGGCCTGGTACTGGTGCGTGGGATCACGTATGCGTCGGTGCCCTTGGCGGTCATCCAGTTGGCCGTGTGGTGGTCGGCCACGAGGGCGCAGAGGTGGGAGTCGTCGACGTGGGCGTTGAGATGTGCTGGACAGCGAAGCCGTTGTCGTAGGGAGGGGAGGAGGCATATGGGAATCTCGATGTTGTCGATGACATCTTCGAGCTCGTCCTCCTGAGTCGGCAGCTGGAAAATGAACTCCCTTATTACCGAATGAAATGCTTCTCTCAAGTCCAGGAAGAGTATGCTGCCCGTGCGAGCCTGTGCACGGCAGTCGTCCAAGAAGGTATAGGCGGTGTGGGTGATGAAGTCAGTCGCCTTGTGAGGGACGGCGCCGCATTGTGTGTCCATGAGCAGGTCGGGTAAGATGTCGCGGAAGAGGCCTCTCAGGAACTTGCTGTTGATCTTGCCAATAGTGTTGTTCAGTAGGATGCCCCTGTAGGCTTTCTGCAGATGAAGCTGTCCTTGTCCTTTGGAGAAATGGGTGGAGAATCCGCCCTTCGCCGAAATGGGCTCCGTCGTCATCAGCTGCATCTTCATCATGATGGGGTGCAGAAGTCGGGCAATCTGGCGCGGCGCCGCTCGTGCCATGTCGTCGGTGTTCCCGTCAGGCCCGCCGCGTTTGCCTTTCTTGGAGGCTGCCAGGGCGGCTGTCAGGTTGTGGATGGTCTGGACGTTGTTGATGTGGGGTATCGGCTTGGTGTGTGCAGTCTTGTTGTTGTAGTGCTTGACGACGCCTTCGATGTCGGTGTTGATGCCATTCTCGATGTTGCCGTAGTATCGAAGGGCGTGCTCCGCAATGGCTTGTGGCGTCGTGAGTGGAGCTCCGTTATCGTCTTGGCGTATTTTGGGAGTCGGAGTTCTCTTAGGCGTTCGGCCGCCGTATGTGAGTAAGGCCCTCACGTTTGCCCATTCCTTCCGCGGGGCATTCCCTGCGGCTGATAATATCATATTGTCGGAGAAGCTCTCAAGGTGGGCGTCGCGGTCATGGTCGAGGCGGATTCTGAGAACGCGGTCGGTGTCTTGGATGAAGCTCAAGTATGAGTCGAAAAGGTTCGTAGTGAAAGTGGTCGTGCCGTAGGTACCGTCGTGGTAAGGAGCCGTGGCATGGTCGGGGTCCGTATGGTTGATGAAGAGGATGGTCTTGATCATCAGCTGAGTGTATCCAGGGATGTCCATGAGGTGGATGACGTCGTCAGGGGACGCTGATGCTGACTGGTTTGCAATGAGGTGCGCGGTGTATCGGATCCGTCTGCGTGACTTCTTGGAGCCAATTCCATTCCTTTTCACGATGCGGATCGTCTTAATGAGGGTGCGTCGGAATCTAAGAAGAGCGTAGGAGGCCTCGGTAATGTAGGGCTTGCGGGGGGCATGGTGCTGCTTCTTGAAGCTGGCGTATGCTGCGTCCTTTATCTGATCGACGATGCTCTTGGTATGGTCGTTGAGGTTGGTCTCCCAGGGGGGGTGTTGGATCTGCTGCAGGCGTCGTTGAAAGTCGTTCTTGGCTGTCTCGGAGTCGAGCTTAGCGGTGTCGAGCTTGGGCGTGCCGTGCTGGTAGGCGGTCTCGACGGTGTAGGCGAGGTTAGCCTTGACGGGGAAGTGGTCGTTCTTTTGTGAGTGGTCGTGTTCTGTGTCGATACCGTACATTACGGACGTGTGGGATATGGAGTCGAAAAGCTCGTGGCCAACCACTATGTAGTCCAGTCTATGTACGTCCTTGCCTGAGTCCCATGTGTAGTGGTCCTGGCCTCCGCTTTTGAAGGTGTTCGCGGCTATGAGAGAGTTGCCTTGCAGGACCTTGTGGAAGCGTTCGCCGTTGTCGTCCTCCTTTTGCTTGAAGCCTTGATCGCCGATTGCCTGGCTGCATAAGCTGCCTGTTCGAGCGTTGGCATCGATGAGGAAGATGTTGATATTGTGGTTAGACGTTGCGCACTCGATCATCTCCCAGAAGGTATCCTTCTCGTGTGGTTTAGCTCGAGAATGTGGTGCATGGGCGACGCAGACTGTATGTCGAAATCCTGGGGCTTCGATCCTTACTACGAGATGCCGAGGGCTGTGC